TTTTTTTTTTTTTTTTTTTTTTTTTTTTGCATTTTACTCTAATATTTTGCATAGATATTTGAATGTTTAGCACCTTAACATTAGTTATTATATAAATTTTTTACTTCAAAAAATTAATCTTTTTTGCTTTTTTTCTAATAAATTAATATTTATTACTTTAAGTTTTCACACAAACTGTCAGAATAATTTTTACATGACAAAACTCTGTTATAATATATTACGACTTGAAGTTAATATCTGTTTAATTTTTATTTATCATTTAGGATTTTTGTCAATATGAAAAAGTTTCGTTTGAGAATTTGAAGTATTTTTGAGACATACAATGATTGGAAAATATTGTTGTCTGCTTAAAATATATTCAAATTTTTGAAATTTACAAACTGGAAAAGAATTTGACAGAACAATAACATACAAGTGATTTCTTCTTTCTTTCATTTTCAACAAAGTTAGTAGTCTATTCAAGGATTGATTAGCTTAGTTCATTTAAATAAACTGATTACTTGCTAGAATTTTTATGAAAATAAAAATATGAATGTAAGAAGGAGTATGATAAATGGTAAAATGGAACATTCATCCGACTATTTGATTTAAATTCAATACATATTCAAAATCAAACTTATAAAATAACCTTACATCATTAATAATGTACTTTTGCTTGATTTAACTTGTAGTTTTGTAACATTTACAATATCTAAAATTAGTACAAATCTTTTATATTTCATATCCTTACTGCCCTTACTTAAAACTATGAAATTGTTTTTTATAAATTGTTCAATTTCATTTTATTTCCATTTTTCGTATAATAAAGTAAATCTCTTATTTATAACAAAGGATTTTACACTGTAAACTTCATAAGAAACGAAAACTACACAGTATCAAAAGACATTTAAATTAAGTCTCATAAAATTCAACATAAAATGAATGCCACATTTTTGCAAGAAATACTTTATCAAAGTTACATATACCGATTTAACCGACGAGGACAAGAAAAAAAATGGGGAAATAAATGTTTGTACCCAGAGGCAATTAAACGATTACTGTTATTTACGGAAATTCCGTTTACTTTTCTTCAACTACTAATTCATTACCTTACCAGTACTAATCTTTTTTTTTTGTATGTTTTAAAATAATTGGAAAAATTTACTTACTAGACCTTCTGCTTTATCATTTTTTGAAAAACAATTATAAACAAAATAAATAATCATAAATGTGGCAATTTAAGACATTTGCACCATTAAATGTTAGACTAGAAAAAAAATAAGTCAATTGCTAATATTTTGTGATTATTTGTGATATCAAACAATATCGTTTTTATCAGATATTGAATCTATCAATATTGATTACGATGAAAATTTGTGAATTCGATGAAATATACTTCATTTAAATCTCTATCGTATCAAATATACAATTAATTACCTATTTGAGAGGTTGTTTTTGATACAATCTCTCAACAGATTTATGAAAATTGAGAGATCATATTTCAACTTGCATCACTTTAATGTGGCTTGTTTTGCAGCTTAAACAATTTTCTGTCATAGATTTCATTCAAATTTTGAACAGATTGAAAAAAAATGCTCATCTACTCTCTTGCAATCTTCTTATCTATGGTTAAAAAATCAAAATAAAACTTATAATTTCAACAATGCTATCACCAAATGCTATATATAGAAATAGTGCATCAGTAGAAGTAATAAATGAAAACTTTATTTAGCCTAATTTGGGAAACGAAAATTGCATATGCAATAAGCAAAGCTATCTTTTCATCCAAATTCATAAAATTGTAGTATTAAATTTCATAAATATAATTTATCGAATTATTGATGAATAGCTCGTGTTGATCGTTTTAAAAAGTTGCACAATTTCAATAATCAGATCATTTTACTTATCATCTGATCAGTGATTATATGGTTTGATAAAGTTATAACATGAAAATCAAAAATGATTTTTATTGAAAAGATTTTGTTTGGTACAATTTGTATGTTACTGTTACAGATTGTGTGCAAGAATTTCAGATAAACTTCTCAAGCTGACTTTTATCATCATACTTTTCCTATCATTAGTTGATTTAACTGTTGCAAGACATTTTTTTTAAACCAAATCGAAAATCCTTTTTGAGTATTAATTACAAACATTCCTAATTTTTGTTGAAAATCTTTTTTTTTATTTACTTTAATTGCTTGCTTGATGTTTTTGCTTTGGTAACAGATAAATTGCTATTATTTGGTTGCACCTGCTCTTGTATTTTACTATAAATTAGCTTATTGTTAGAAAAGTTCAATTATTTTTTCAGGAATAATATTAAAAAATTTGCATATGTCATAAATTTTGAATGAATTTTTTAAAGCAAGTTAGATAAAAAAGTTAATGCTTGTTCAAAAAGTTTTAAATGCTAGTTACGATAATTTGCTCTGCATTTGATTTTACAATATTAATTGACTTAATGCTTAATAATAATTTTTGGGACGCGAAGGTGTAAACTATTTTCCATAATTTCTCCAAAGCATAATCTGATCTCTTTTCTTGCAGTGTTGCGCTATATCTTCATTACTTAAGTAATGATTGATATGAAATCGACGTCGAAATATACTTTTTCTCACTAACAAATTTATTAATGACAGTTTTTATCACTGCTAAAGTGATCATATTTTTATCATAGAGTTATTCTGTATTTCATGCTCACTTTATATGAAAAAATTAGTGCTTAATTATTGAGTAAAAATCAAATTTGTGTTTCATTATTGATCATAATAATCAGTTTAGTTGCATGAATTTTTTCAGAGTATTTATTGATCTTATAATATTGTTTTGTAATATTATTTATCGTGTAAAAATTACTCATTTATAATAAACAAAATGATATACTTATTTGAATGGAAGATTAAATTGGGATAGAATGTCGGATTACATATGCAGACATACAGTACTTACTCAGTTTGTTGAAAACAACAGTAAGTGTAGAAGAAAAAGTATGCATAGAAAATGGTAAATGAAGGGGAGGGGTAGAAATGAAAAGGGTGGCAAAGGGAAAAGGTTAAATTTTAGAATTTATTTTCAAGAGAAACAAATAGTTTGATTTGGTAACGCCCAAAATGCAAGCAGACTCACTAGCATTAATTTCAGTCATAGTTACTTGAAAAGGGCACTTAAAAATATTTATTTATTTATTTGTTTATTTATTTATTTATTTATTTATAGAAATATATGACATGAGATGAAATGAAATAAGGTAAGGCCATGCCATGTCATGTCATGTCATGTCAAATCATATCAAGTCAAATCAAATCAGATCAAATCAAGTCAAATCAAGTCAAGCTAAGTCAAGTCATAGCATTTATATCGCTAGCAACAACAGCAGGCTACTAACTGACAGTGTAAAGCTTAATTTTCAACTCCATCTGCTATGCTAATTAAATGAAAAGTGATATTAATAGTTTTATTTGATTAGGCTAGATCATTTTAAATCAACTTTTCACTATTTCTTTCCTTTTACTTTAATAAATCATTTATTTTATTTTTCAGATTTATACAATGCTAATATGTCGATTTTATTTCTTCCTTTCATCACATCCATTTTTGTGATTTTTATTCCATATTATGTATATACAATAAGTTTATTACCGTCAAGACTAACAGTAGCAAAAAATACAAGTAATACTTCTACTGTACGTAAACATTTTCCTCAAGCAATTATTATTGGTGTTAAAAAAGCTGGTACTCGTGCTCTATTAGAATTTCTTCGTTTGAATCCTGCAATCAAAGCACCTGGACCTGAGGTGCATTTTTTTGATAAAAATTTCGAAAAAGGCTTCGAATGGTATCGGTTAGTTTTTTTTGGCTACTTTTTTAATAAAAATATATGCAGCTGCATATTATTACAATTCATAATAAGTACTACACAATTCTATATTAATAGAAGTCTATAATTTATTTATTTATTTATTTATTTATTATAATTATTGATATTAATATTTATTGTATTATTCTTAAAAAAATAAATGACTAACTTTAATTATAATATTAATATTTTTTTTCATATTTTTCATTCAAAATTATTTATTCATCTCAATTTTGAGTACTTTTTTGATAATTTGCAAATACTTACAATTATATGTTACTTGTTACTCCCCTGTAATCATTATATTAATAGGTATAAGCTTTGTTCAGATATATATTATAAACATTTAAGATTTTTGAGATATGCTACAGGCATAATCTTCATAAGTACAATACAAAAAAGATGTATGTATGCTTGAAAGTAATAAGTATATTTTGTGTACATGTATTTGGATCAAATTACTAATTTTTAAATAATTTTATCAATTTATTGCTCCATTTTTTAGTTTACTTTTTGAGTATGGCGTAAGAAATCCTTCTATTGACATCAATTTAGGTCTCTGATTCCATCTTCTTGACTGGCTTCTTAAATGCTTTTTTAAATGCAAGTACCACTTCTTTCAGCTTAGTGTTGAGTGATTGAATAGTTAAGAATGAGTGAATATATCTCCTTCTCATTTTTTACGCAACAATATACTTATTTGCGCTCTAATTATTCTATTTACTTGTAGGTTAGTTGAATATATTTGTTGACATTTGCATAAATATTACCACATCTTCACATCAACAGTGATAGTAGAAAAACAAGATTTTTTATCTCAACAAATATACCAATATTATCAGAATCACTTATTCAAATTAGAAAAGATATTTCAATAACTTTTAAATTGATTCTCTTAAATGTTTTGTTTTTTAATTTAAAAATACAATTTATGATTCGTAATATATTGCTCTATTAAAGTTAATGTGGCAGATATATGCGAATAAAAGATAGATACAATATATCTATTTTTTGCTCGATTTCTGTATGGTATTTTATGAACAAAAAGTTTGCTAAAAACTTTTGATTAACTTGTCATAGAAATTTTTGCATTAAAATTTGTTAGTTAAACAGAATAAATAATTTTAATTAAATTTAAAAATACTTTTTCCCTCTTTTTCCCTCCAAAAAATATGAAGTTCTTTATTTATTTTTTAGTATTGACAGATATTTTAAAAAGCAAAATTTAGTTTTTATTGAATAAAAAAATAAAGAAGATAAACTACTCTTCTTCAAGTAATTTATTTATTAATTATTCATATACTCAATAAATGTACGCATATATATGCGTAATCATTTTCAAAATTATTTCCACACTTAACAAGCAATATCAACTTAAGTAAGTAAGCACATTCATTTCCATCATTCAGACTTACTTAAATATGATGCAAAGTGTCAGTGTGGAATTGAGTAACATTTTGTAATTTTTGTTTTTCAAAGTGTATTTTTGAGTGAACAAACGTGAATAAGTTGTTTCTGAATACACGCAAAGAAAATAATAAAATAAAAAGTAAAGTAAGCAAAAATGAAATTTCCTTTTCATTGTGCTTTCTTTGCGATCAAAAAATACATAACTTAGCATATTTTAAGAGCAGTACTCAGAAGGAAATGAGAAAGTATGTGTGCTTAAGCAGAACTTCAGACTCATTTAGATTTTGACGACTCACAAGTGCTAAATTGGAAAACAAAACAAAGCATTAAGTATGTTTATTCATTTCATCAGTTTAAGTCGTCCTCTGATTTTTCCAGTTTATTTAAATCTGCAGTTCAGATAAAACCAACAAGCTTAAAAATTATATACATATATTCATTTATTTATTCATTTGATTCATTAATTAATTTTAATTTTATTAATTTAAAACTTGTAGAGTAAAATATTGATGAATTTTGTTTCAAATAATAATCCCCATCAAGTTTTGCTAATGAGATAACTGATGAACGTAAGTAATTCTGCTCTCAAATTTTCAATATTCTTAATTCCTTACTTTAAGGGAAAGTTTTATAAGGGTTTATTTTGATAAAAGAGACAAAATTAAATACAAAAAATATCATAAATATTATATTTTCAATAATATCCATATTTTTCTGACACTTAATAAGATATTTAAAAATGCCTTCAACGTATGAATGAATGAATGAATGAGCCAATAAGAATGGCTTTAAATATGAATGATATTATTTTCAGAAAATTAACCTCAGATATTAACTTTAATTATTTCATTTCTTCATAGCTTAACCAAAACTTTAAAATTGCAGAAATTATTTTTCTTAGTTTGCATATTTATTTATGTCTATTTTATTCACTGTGTTGTGAAAGTTTTTAAAATTGTGCTTTGAAGGTAAAACAACAACGCTTTTATCAATTAATTTTTTTGATTCTTCTAAGCGCCTTTCGATCAAGTTTTGAATGAAGACGTTTACACTTATCAGATATGAAAATCTTTAAATAATCACTGTGCAATTTACGATAGCTTTGCTCAATGAAATTTTTTAATTAGTAAAATTTGCGCACATTACACGTGAAGTTTAATTTTTCTTTTTAAAAAAATTTTACTAATTAAATAAGTCTTCTTTTCAGTTTAAACAAACTGCCAGTTGTGATAAGTAACAAAAACAACAAATACAATCATTTTATGGCTTGTTTTCATACAGTCAATAGTAAAATTATTTTAAAAAAAGTAGTTACTACATATTAGTTATATGCTCAAGCAAAATGTACAATATATATTCGTTGCAGAGTGATAAGTTTGTCTCAATATTTTATTTTGTAAAAGAAGCATTATTAATTTAAAAAATTTTTAAAATATCAAAAAGAATTGAATAAGTTTTTGATTACTTTTGAAAAAACTTTTTAAAAATTCCATCAAATAAAATTTGTTTAAAATTACTGAGTGGTTATTTTTTTTAAAATTTCACTTCAACATTGAAAGCAACAAATACAATAATATTTAAAATAAGAAGTATTTATGAAATGTTGCACATATGTTTGCAACATGTTTGCATAAACTTTTTGTTATGGATAATTGATCAAAAACTAACTTCATATGTTATTTTAACATGCATGAAAATTAAGGTCAGTAAAAAATATCAAAATTAATAATTTAGAAAATATGCATGAAAAAATAAATAATGGTTCTAAATGAAAGAATAGATAAGAAATGCGGTGAAAATAATTAAATTTTTTAGTTAAATATTTCTCTTAAAATTAAATAATTTACGATTTCATCTATCGAATGATGATAATATTTTTGATATTCTATCAGATAAAGTTTCATATCGATGAAAACAAAACTATCAATTTTTTTTCGCATGAATAGAAAATAAATTCTATTAAAGCTTATTACAAATCTATTTAATCATGCATAATAAACTATACTCAATCCATTTTATACATGTAATGATGACAATTTACATGTATGTTTAAAATAGCAACTTAAATTATGTATATCGTTTAAATGAAAAAAATTTAAGAGGTTGAATCTTGAATGATTTATGCATATATTTTACTTATTTTATTTTCATGATTTTTTTTTTCAGTTCTCTTCGATATTTAATAATGGTATTGTTGGTGTTACCAAAACTGAGAGCAATAACATTAAATTTCAACGATTTCACATATAAGCTTCCCATTAATCTCTTTTTTTAGACCTCATGTAAAAATAAAAAAATCTCACTCAATAAACCATTTTGAGAATAAAAAATTAGCTTATTCATGAAAAACATCATTTCTTACAAGCACAATTTTTCATCTAAACTTCTGATATTAAATATTAAATATTTTAATTTTCTTTCTACCCATTTCTTTAATTTATCTTATTCTGCTCTCAGCTTTTAGCGTCTTGCAAAATTATTCAATTATTGCTTTTATTCTTAGAAGAGCAATTTTATTTCCCAATGAAATTTGTGCAAACAGTACGAAATGCAAAATTGATGATTTTCAAAGGGATTTAATTCAATTTTGATACTGCTAAATATATTGCAACCAATTGTAACTTGTTAACTTTTGTCATTTATTTTGCAGTAAATTCAAATTGCAAGCAAAATTTGAAATTTTGACCACAATTTCTAAGCAATTTCAAGCTCTTTTTTTTTCTTGCATTACAGTTTGATCCAATAGAAAAGCTTAACAATTGGTAGTGATGAGAATTAAGAAATGAAATTTGACTTTCTAAAGTATTATTTCAAATTTATTATTGCAGTTTTAATTCTTTTAAATGAATTTATTGTTTTATACTAATTTTATTAGATATTCCTAGCTGTCCTATGTTTCATGATGATTGGAAGCTTATAACGTAACAATACTCATTTAATTAATATATTGCTTAAATGCTTGAAAATTTTAATTTTGAACAGCAAATAAACATAATTGTTGCGGAATTCAGTGTTAAAAATAAGCAGACATTTGTGGTGTAAACACTGTGGTTATGATTTTAATTTCCATTTATCATTTTTTTTTACATGAATTTTCTGTAAATAATCTAAGGTATTACTTTAACATTCTAGTGAACTTTTGAAAAAATAGTGTTGTGTTGAGAAATTTCACCAAATTTTTATTAATTTTTGTCTTGTACTAAAATAAGGATAAGTTTTATAAAAATTCAAAATATTTCAAAGGAAAAGAATTTGATTGAAACAAAAAGCAAAAAAAAATGTAGAATAGAAATAAAAATGTTTCTTCAAATGTCATATTTTATTTTACAATTTGATAAACTTTTTTTACAAGTGCAGTTTATAATTATCATCTATAAGCATTGTTTTCTTACTGAAATATCATTAACTTATGATTTGAAATAATAAGTTATCATTGATTAAATCACTGCTTATTATCAATTTTATAATTGATGATTGAATTTTGAAGATAAAAATTTATAAATAAAAAGATTACAAATAGAATGTATAATAAATTATACTATAAATATATATCGGTCCAAAAATAAAAGGATCATATAAATTGAGTAGGACGAGTAAAGGAAAGAAGCTCTTGTGCAAAACTATAAGGCTAAGTCAAAACAAGCAGCAGCAGCAGTATCTAATTAAGCAAATAATTGCCGGATTTAGATTGGTAAATAATTTTGATATCATGATGTAATCAGTGCTTCTGTAAGTTAATTGTAAAAAGTGTTGAATATATTTAGATAATTCATCAAAATTTTAAAAAAATTGTAAGATGCAATTGAAAATGTAAATTTTATTTTTAGTTTTTTTAACCAACTTTTTTAGCTATAAATGTAATGATTCATATGCTGTAATTAATGCATGAAATATTAAAAAGTTTTTTGACTGTATTTTTAAATATTCATACCCAGTAGAATAAAGGATAAATGTAAATTTAATATTTGCTGAGATCGAGTAGATTAACTTTGATAAAATGCAATTGTTAAAAAGTTATAGTCCGTGAAAGTTCGCTTAAACAGCTGATTTGTAGCGACAAATTGCAAAGTTTTCTCACTAAGCAACTGATAACTAACTATTTATCTAGGCGAACGAACTAAACAACCGCTCAACTAACTAACTTACTGACTAACTAACTAGCTCACTAGTTAACTTCTTATGAGATGAACAGCTGCTCTTGGCACCAAATAATAATATTAATTCGTTGTCGGCTATTCATTCACATCCATCACAATTGTTTCATTGAAGGGATTTCTGTCTTTCAATACTAATAAATCTCTAATTCATTATATATTACTTATATGCAGTAAAAATAATTGAAATTGATTATTGTACATACGTGTTAAGAGGAGATAAAAATATTTTTTCTCATTACTCATTATCTAAAATCATGGCAATGCTAATTTTTCAAATAAAATTACTTTAGCTTATCATTATGTAACAGTTTTTAACTGTGCTCATTTTAAATGGAAGAATTAATTCAATAAGTATTTAGAAAATAATAAATTGCTAACGAATTTTTATTGACTTATTCAATGAAGTATAATAAAAAGCAAATTAAATTTTTTTCTATTTTAAATTTATGCAATTTTAGCTGAAAAAGAATGTATTCAGCAGTATTAGATAGCAATTTTGAAAGCATTAAATGCAACAAGCAAATTGCTTAATATTAACTTAAAAAGAAGAGTAATTTTATGATGTGCTGAAATAGAATAGAAAATGGATCATGCCAATAGCTGCTACTGTGAATTGAAAATTAATTAAAAGCTGCAAGTGGTCACGCTACATTGGTCATTTTGGTCATAGAGAATTATCCCGAGAGAATTATAGGAAAATAAAATTTATTTCGGATGTAAGTTTGATAATAAAAATGATTAAAGCAAAATTCTTACAAAATGCAAAATAAAACGAATAAGATAGTGATACAAAGTAAAATTAGAAAAATTTTTGCAAATTATGCAAATGAACCACATAAGCTTAAGCTTAGGCTTAGTAATATATGCTTTTTTTAAAAGAAGCAAAGAATAAAACAAGCTAAATTGTTCTAATTAGCTTCAAATTACACATTTTCTTTTACTTCTTCTATTCTAATTCATGCATTTCTTACTGCGTTCAATTTAATTAGTAGCAAATAGCAAACTAAACAAAAGATACTTTATCTGAGTTAAAACCATCCACTCCAATTTGTTTCCAGTTGATTTGGCAAGGTTTTTGCATCATTGCTTAGAAATATTATTCTTTGCCACCTTTCATTATCTTCTTATTTATTTCAAATTTGCATTAATTAATGATTTTTCTCACAAATGGATCAAATTAGACGGTATTCACAACTTATTCATCAAATATACTTTAAAAACTTATCTTGAAATATAACAATTAATATCTCAACTCAAGTAAAATAACAGCATTGAAAAGATATATTTAAAAGCACTGCAAAATATGAGCAATAGATAATTATTAATAATAATAAAAATAAATGAATTTGAATAGTTTGGAGATCACAAAACAATCAGTAATGATGAAAAAAATATTATGGTAATGAGGATGAGTTAATCATGATTATAAATTACGGCAGCAGTGCTACTTAATAAAGGTAAATAAATAAATCATAGCAAATAATTACAAAAGCATTAAAAATGATCATAATAAAAATGAGCATATTATTGCCGCAAATTATTGCTGCGATAAAAATGTTTATACTAATAGATAAATAGATAAGTGAATAAGCGAACAAATAAATAAATAGGTAAATAACTATATAAATAAATATAAATCAACAACATAGATAAGAGCAAAAATGTTCGGTGTTGTTAACTGTAAAAGACGTACGTAAGCGGAATAATCTCCTTATGATGCAACTAGCGAAGGATTAGTGAGGATTAAATGGAGAAAAATTATACCACAAATCTGTCCGACCGTACATTAATAGCGGCATGGAAAGGGAAACAAGAATAAAAGCGAAGAAAATAGACGAAGAAAGACATCACAGTATCAATTACATCACATTTACACGAATCTGTATATTACTTTACAGTAATAATGAATTTACTGAGTATGATAATGATGATGATGATGATGATAATGATGATTGATGCATGATTGCGATGACCTCATATTAATAGGGTTAAACGTTAAGACTTCTTATCGCTGATTTTTTAATTGGCTTAAGTATTATATATATACCACATAGTTCGATATCTGTATTACATATATTTCCCTACTAAAATCTTTTCACTTATTTTTTAATTCATTTTTCTTTGATATTACTAAAGCGCTTTTTTTTTTTTAATTGCAAAATAGATTATTAAAAAATTAAATTTATTCTTAATAATTAATTTTTGTAAGCAAAATATGTGATTTCCTATTTCTTTTGCAAATCTTAATCTTTTTTTTCAAGAAATAGAGATTTAAAATTGTCAGTTTAAATAATTATTGATAAAAATTAATTTTTTTTGCATCGATGTTAAAAATTATAAGTAAAACAGTAATTTAAATTTTAAAAAACTCATCAAACAATTAAAGTTAAAAAGTTTCAATATCCTAACTAAGATGAATATGATAAATTTGTTGAATTATTTTGAAATATTAATAAATTACTATCAAATCATTCTTTGCTTAATGGAATACAATTAAAAAGTATACAATTTTTGAAAGTTTTTATGAAAAAATTCTAGAAACAGAATGCCAGAAACGAATCATGCAACAGTAACAGTTGAAAAAACGCCAGGTTATTTTGTATGCAAAAGAGCACCAGAACGCATTTATAGTTTAAACTCTACAATTAAACTAATTGTTGTTGTACGAAATCCTATTACTAGAGCCATATCAGGTTCATTTTTTGCATTTAAAGTTTTTATTACAATATTTTAGTTATCATATGTGTAATGCATTTAATTTTAAAAGTCTTAAATTTGAAAAATGAATGCTTTCAAAGTATATTACAATGTAAAATAAAAATTTAATTTATTAAAAAAGATTCATTTTTAGATTACACACAAGCAATTAGCAAAAAAAGACGAAGTTCGTTACTGCCAAGTTTTGAAGAAATGGTACTTGGAAACAGTGCAATGAATTCAACGGGTATTCATCAGTTGTAAAACATAAAAATTTGTATACAATGAATCAATTATTTAAATTTTTAGTTGAAAAAAGAAATTGATTTCATATATACTTTTTACAGGTATCAAAAATGGTGTAAATGCTTCATGGGGTGCAATTCGAATTGGAATATATCACAGACATATTCGAAGATGGCTCAAGTACTTTTCATTAAAACAAATTCATTTTGTTGATGGTGAACATTTGATTGCAAATCCTGCAGCAGAAATTCGTGCAGTTGAACGATTTCTTGCAATAAAACCAAGTAAATGTTTATGATGTTAGTGTAAGAATTTCAAATTTGAAAAATTAAGTTTAACATTATTTTTATATGAACTATTTTTTGTCAATTCAAATTAGATATTAATTTTCGAAAATAAATCAGCATTAATAAAAATTATCTTTTCAATTAATAATCACTAATTTAACTTTATAAAAATTAATCATTTTAGAAGAAATATTGATATTGTAATTTGTAAGTAAGTTTTTTTAGTTGTTCGACAATCTGATTTTGCAACTGATCCAATAAAAGGTTTCCCTTGTGTACTTAGGCGTGATTACACACTACACTGTCTTGGCAAAACGAAAGGTAGAGCACATCCAAATGTAAGACCTGAAGTAATACAGAAATTACGAGATTTTTATGCTCCTCAAAATGAGCAATTTTTTAAGCTTATCAATAGAAAGTTTTATTGGTGAGCATAGAGATTTTCTATTATTAAGTGCCTTTTTTTAGAAAAAAAGAAAACAAATCTCTCAATTACTGTAAATGATTTGTATACATAATAATTATTCCATTTCATTTGTCTTACTTTGATCATATAATGCACTATTCTTCAAGAAGTATTTTATTTTATTTTATTTTAATTTACTTTCATTTACGAAGTATTCAAACAAACAGTTGTGAAGTTTGCATATTTTATTGAACAATTTTGCAAAACGATGTAATCAAGGAAAAAGGTTATTTTTTGGTGCAAAAGATTCGTACATATCCAATGATTGCAACATTTAAACATTTTTTGCTGAAGACTTTTATAATTTTTCATAAATTATTACATTTCACTTAACTTCACTTTTTGTTTGATCTCATCTTCGGTTAAAAATTCTTTGCTGTGTGTATTATCTGCAAAATGCCGGGTATTGCTGATTAAATTGTGGTCTAAATGTTTCAATCTCTTTTTTATATTCTTTTAGTGTTAAAGTATTTTTGTGTATTCGTATCAAATTTCGTGTGTTATAGAATATGTTTCAGTATTAATCATAACAAATTGTATGTTATATATAAATAAAATAAGGCTTCAAGTTTACGCATTTCCATCAAAAAGTAATTTTGTACGAAATGATAGCGGAATAATAGTAAGTTAGTTTAAATATAATTTAAAAAATTTGTTGTTATAAACAAAACAAGAATTAGTGAACAACCCTAACCAAATTTTGAATACTACTTTCAATTTTATGTGCGAATAAACTTGACTTTTAACAATATATCACAATGTATATGCTGAAAAAGTTTCTTTTAATTATTTCAGCAAAGGATACCCAACGGTTTACGCATAGATATATTGGAAGAAAAAAAAAGTTCTTGATAAAGCGAGAACCCAGAAATTGTTTATGCAAATAACGGTTTTTGCAGTTAATAATATGATCACAGTTCTAAGTATTTGTAGGCATATGAAATTTTAATAAGGAAAGAGTCGCAGCAGTACTAAATACATACAGTACTGAATATATTAGTTAAGAACGGTATATTGTTATTTGTTAAAAATATTTTAACAAAATACAGTAAGTGCTATTAGGTATTTTACTTCGAGAAATTCGTAAAAGGACAGTTTTGAAACTATTCTTTAAAATATGTCTTCAAAAATAATGAAAATGAAAAAGCGTGGTATTGATGAACATGGAAAAAAAAGACTAAAAGTAGATTCTTTGCCAGAAATACAAGTGTTGGATGGTCGAAAAATTGTGCAGCAAACGCATCTGATCATTGTAGTTGATTGATGATATGACTTTAATCAGATCAGGTTCTGATTGAACATTTCTAGCACTGACTACATAGTACAGCAAACAAATTTTTGTGCCGACAATGTTTACATAAAATGATAATAATGATATTTATAAAGTGGATACTGTGATATTATTTATGATAATATTGTAATGATTTTATAAATTGTATGCGTTCATCAAAACTTCAAAAATTTAAATTTACAGTAAGGTTTACATCATTTTAATAAGTGATGAATTTAACTTGACATTGTTTCATCAATCGATATGATATTAATAATACGACAATAACTTTTATGATTCAATCCGACCAGAATCATTCACGAAACAAATAAAATTTCCTTCCTCTGCCCAATATGCAAATTGCAAGCTGACACATCACTTCCACATTCCGATACTCATAATAATGCTTTGGGCCACGATTATTCTACTCTTCATGTGCATGAAATTAGTGGGATGTATAAATCACATTACAGTGAAAATTGTTTTTCACTGTAATGTGACTATTCTTGGGTGGACCGGTCAGAATAAGTAATTGCTATGATCTACGCAGTAATTGCAATACTATAATTGTATGGAAGTGGACTTATGTGGCTTGAATGAAGCAGTTTATCATTTCACTATAACAAACATTCAAGTTTACTGCAATTTGAATTCGTCTCGTCTGTTATGATTTACTACATTAGTAATTAACTCTTTTTTTATTGCAAAATCACATAAATAGTGTTTAAATAACATATATAAATTTAACTGCAAATCAAATAAGTTAATCGTTTACTAAAAACTCTGTCTAGAATTATGCATCCGTTTTCTTTCGTTTTCAGAAAATGGTTTTAGTAATCTGCTGACTCTACTGTCAAATCACACTAATTATTGTCTGTTTTGCCAAAAAGTAGTCTGGAATCGTCCGTTTTTAATGGTAAGAAGAAGCTATTTTCACTATTATTAACTGAACAGAATAGTTTTAGAGAACTTTATTAAGGAGCTATCTTATATTTAGGACATCTTTTTGTAAATAGATTTACTACCTTCTAAGTTGATGGAATTGAAAAAAATCTAATCAATAAAGTTCAGATGTATGTAATATCCATAATAAAGACATGATCTTGTTTTTCAGGCATTTTTTGGATTTGGACAAGCAGCAGAAATTTTTATCAGACTAGATGATGCGGATAACAGGAAGGTAAATTTACTGATGAAATAGAGTATCTCGGTACTTACGAGGCTCCAATCTCTCAATCAATAATATTCTTTATTGACTACGTGATTTGCACTCAGGCTTCGAAAATCACGATTTCGTGGATCAGTACACTTCCTCTTATTTTGATTCATTCCGTGCATTCTCATAGAATGAATCGAAATATATATATATGGAAATTGCTGTTGGAAAAATTTGATGTTCATTATATAATTTTTAGGTTGCGAAAATTCGTGGTGAAGAAGGCGGTCAAGAGGTACATTTTTTGTTTTATGATGGTGAAACAATATCTGGTACTGTGGAAATAGCTGTTAAAAAAAAATTTGATCATCAAGGAATAAAAATTGAATTTATTGGTCAAATTGGTATGTCGCCAATTTTTTTAAAATTTTGTTTCATTATATTTTCATTTTTTGGCTTTTATTTTCATATATTTTTTCAACAGTGTATATCAGTAAATTTTAGTATTTTATGAGCAAGTTACACATATCTGGTACTGTGGAAGGTTTTTCAGAGGTTTATTATGATCGTGGTAACCAGAATGATTTTATAACATTAATGGAGGAATTAGCTCGTCCAGGTGAACTCACGCAGAATGCAGTATTTCGGTTCGAATTTCCAAAAGTTGAAAAACCATTCGAGTCATATGTTGGTACCAATGTCAGATTGCGGTAATATTTTTGTAAATTTTCTTCACTCAAAGACATCTGATTACATTCATCAATTAAAATATTTTGAATTAAACAATTTTTCGAGGTATCGTCAGTGTTATATCTGATCTATTCCAGTTATTTTCTGAGAGTAGTGGTTGTGCGAAGGTTAACTGATATTGTTCGTGAAATGGATATAATTGTGCATACGCTTTCGTCATATCCAGATACGAATAACAATATTAAAATGGAAGTTGGTATTGAAGATTGTTTGCACATAGAATTCGAATATAATCGCTCCAAGTAAATAGCTTCAGTACTTTTTCCTTCTTAAGGTTGCAGGATAATCTAAGAACTGTTTGTGGACAGTTAAAAGGCAAATGTTCATTTAACTCACTTATTTTATCTACATTTTGAGTGAAACTTCTTTACCTGGTACATCGGATGGTTTTTTGCTTCATGAATTACGTACGAGTATGAGTTGTTGCATTTTATTTTTGGTTGAGAACATCAGCTTAAAAATTTATTGTTTTATGTTTATAGATATCACCTAAAGGATGTAATTGTTGGAAAAATATATTTTTTACTGGTTCGAATCAAAATCAAATTTATGGAGATTGCAATAATAAGGCGAGAGACTGTTGGAAATGCACCTAATGTATTCAATGAAAATGAAACAATAGCAAAATATGAAATAATGGATGGCGCACCAGTAAGAGGTACGATTATTCGCCATTCATCATGCTGTAAATAATTCATTAGTACTTTACTTTTGACTCTTATTCTCTGAATTAATGTTTCAAAACGGTTTCATGAGCTTTGTTGTAATTAGAATGATAGCTCTGCTCTATTCAAATTATTTTGTCAATTCGCTCATTTACGTAAATATTTTTAGTTTGGAGAGCTCTGAATTGAAAGTAATAGGAAATTTCTTCAGCATCATGAAATTTGTATTATTCTAAGCATAGCTAATATGGTTGTTCAAAAAACTAATCAGCTGATGAGTACTCAAACTGGACTGCAGGAGAATCGATTCCAATACGTCTTTTTCTTGCTGGTTATGACTTGACGCCAACTATGCGTGACATTGGTAAAAAGTTTTCTGTTCGCTATTTTCTAAATCTCGTTCTGGTTGATGAAGAAGATCGTCGTTATTTCAAACAACAGGTCTAACAATTTTTTTTTGTTCCTATTCTTGGGAATTATGATATTAGAACTCAGACATTCAGTACTGTTTTTTTTAACGCTGAATCTCATTTTAAATCTTGAGTTTTTTAACTGATTTATTTTCACTTATATCTCACTGCAATGAGTTTAAAATTTGTGCTGTGCCTCCTATACTGAATGTCCGAGTCCTAATAACAAATTGTGTTGTACCTTCTGATTTTCGAAGTTTTCCAGGAAATGACCTTGTGGCGTAAAGCGGATAAAATCAGCCGACATATGTCCGAAGAGAATCTAGCCAAAACAAAAACAAATGGAGATACAGGAGCTGTTCAACAGTCAAAAGAAATGAAGATCAGCAAATAAAGCATAGTTTCGTTTGGTTATTGAGTTCCTTCAAGAATCTTGCGGGAAATTTTGTTGATAGACAGAAAGCATCATGTTGCTATTGTTTTCGAATGGCAGAGGTTGGAAGATCAAGTCTTCTTTTTTTGAATGTTTTATGTTATATTTATGTCTACAAATTTACAAATTTTTCATCGCAAGTATCTTATATATATATAATACTTGTAGTATTTGTTAAAGCGCATCAATTATAGCTACAAATTGACAAATTAAGAAGCATGTGAAAAATTGAGTGCAGTGCTTTAATTAAATATTTTCTGATTTCAAATTCTTTATATTACTAAGAGTAATATTGACCAATCTTCCGAAAAAATTGTTGTCATTAAAACACAACATTGTCTCAAGTATTATATATTAATGAAAGGTAATGCAGTCTTGCTATTTAACAATTTTGTATGTATTCTAATACCTTCTATCGTGTAAACTTTCAAAAAGGAATGGTTTATCGATTGTTTAGGGTCCAGATAATGTTTGTTGGTTACTGCAGACCTTTGATGTTATTAATATTTGTTGCTCCTAGTGGTTTTCAGTGGGAAGTTAAAAAAAATGCGAGGAGCACTGGTTCTTCGTGATATCCTATTGATATGTAGCCAGCTTAGTAGCTGTATCCATAGTATTTTCAAAGCTCTGCAGAACATGATAACTACTTGGGTGAGTAATTATGTCAATTTAAGTGGTTCCATGACCTTTGAAGACATCTGAGTGTTTTCAAGCGGGCCTAAAATACACTTCTGAATGCCTCTTTATCATTTGTCAACAAATGAGAAGTCTCATTTAGTTGCTTTTTGTGGTCCTATATTTTATGAATCCTTTTCTTTGACAATTATTTTCCTCTTTTAAATGCAAATTTGTGTGCATTGTGCCTTACTTCGTTTCTTGAGTTTCATGCCGATATCTTGCATGGATAATAAGTTCTTTACGTGTTTTATCTTCCATACCCATGAATGTTGTGTATTTTTTTCATAAAAAGAGCCCATAACATGTTAATATTGTAACTAATTTGCAATACTAGCTCCCAAAGTGAATCATACCAGTTCCATAATTGTTTTATGCAAATCACATACAATGTATAGATGTCTGGTTTCCTAGCCACTTTATTCTAGTAACGAATTAATCGTCTGCTCACTGAATATACTATTCAGCAGTAGATAAATATCGAGGTCTCAGATCTCTTCTTTATTAATCCCTGCAAAACAATGAATAATATTTCCTCCTTCGACACACTGTGCTCCATAATTGTGAGCAGTTAATCGTTACTCAGGTACTAAAAGCTTCCTTGCATAATCCTTTTTTTTTTTCTTAGTGTTTAATGTAACAAATTGCAATCGCTTCAATTCATTAATGCGGTAGTTCTTGATCCATACTTTTACGGTTGTTGTTTAGTCGTACTATCTTAACGATTTATCTGCATTTTCATCTTTTACTCAAGTTTGACCACTTGTTTTTGTTTCTTCGCTTGTCCCGCTGACAAATAAAACTTTTAACTCTATAAAACAACGAAAAATGAGATTTTCTGAAACAGCAATTTTCAAGTATCCGAGACTCAAAGTCAAAAATGTCACACATCTTAACACTTTCTATTAACAATGATAGTCTGAAAAATAGGTGACAGTTAACTGTTACAGGTCAATCTCATCACGTATGTAATACCGTCTGCGCTTGACTTATCTAAGCCAATTTCATTTTCCATCATTTTTACTAACATATCGTTCTTCGATGAGTAGTGCTGCCATCGCATCAGTGCTGCCACTGAAGCATTCTGAAACTTTGTTCCCGTGGCGAAGCACTTGTTGCTACACACATCAAGACAGCTCAACACATTATTGCGGAAGCCCGAAATAAAATCAAGCTTTGTAAAGTAGTAAACTTGGATAAGGAGAGATTGGTATGCATGATAAGTTTTAAAACAACGAACTGTTGATATTTCTATATCTTTTTCTGTTCGATCTTTAGCTTCAATTTCGAAGTCGCAAGAGTCACACTTCGGTGTACTGCCTTCCACATCCTGAGATGATTCAGCTCCTACATCACCTGCCTCGCTACATACCATGTCTCCAACCATACTGCATGGCAGTTTCTAGAATGATTAGAACATTTGCAAGTAGTCATGAAGCAAATATTAGACTTCCATATGTTCCAACCAGAAGTTGCCAAAACCTCAAAATTTTGCGATTCCTCCGGCAAAATACCAGAACCATCGCACTGGCATCCCAATAAGCAGTGAGTTACACATTCAGTATCAATATCAAGAGTGAAAATGTCTCGCAATTCTTCGTCAGAAAAATTAGTAAGTGCTGAAATTTCATAATGATCGTATAAATTAAAAAGTTTCTGAAATGAAAAAGGTACTTTGGTATAGTAAATATGAATAACTATGAATGATGTATGTGGTTATACGAATACATAAATTCTTCTGGTATAAAAGTTATATTAAAAAGTATAAAATGTACAATTAATTGAGATCGTTTCGATGACTGTATTTAGAGTACTTTTCTTCACTTGTCTCTGCAAAATTTTTTCATCTATTGTACCCTGAAATTCATACTCATACAGTTCTGAATTTAAAAGAGACTTAAACTATTCAAGAACGAAGCAGTGGATCAGAATATAAAGTTTGGACCACTCCACAATAGTAATAATTAGATGATGGGAATGAAAAACTGAATATAGAAAATGAGAAAATTACCGCTGTGATAAGTTTAAATATATGACATGGCTTTTTCTGTCCTTTTCGCCAAATGCGAGCCATTGCTTGCATGTCTATCGCTGGATTCCAGTCCGAATCATATAGAATCATTCGACTAGCTCCAATTAGATTTAAACCCTGTCCACCTGTCAAATGACTAATAATTTTGCACATAAGACTCCTTACAAAAATGATTGAAAAATTGCCAAAAAACTACCTGCTTTCGCACTTAACAAAAAAACAGTAGCTCTATCTTTTTGAGAGTTAAATGCATCCACAATCGTCATCCGCTTCATCCCTTCAATTGAACCATCAAGTCGAAAAACAAAAAAGAACAGAGATAAGCAAAGTTCTTCCAGCAAGTCAAGAGTCTGGAAAGAGGTTGTCGTTCAAACGTTCATACTTGTATTTTGCTTTCAAACTGAAACCAGAATTTTAATCAAAAGATTTGGCCTTCAACAGTAGCCCTATAAAACAAAATTTATACGTTATTATGGGACAAACCTGTGTGAAATTGGAGACAATAACCACATTTTCGTTTTGTTCTCGAAACGTTGCTAGTAAATTAGTAAGCACGCTTAGTTTGCCTGATAAAATACTGCCACTTACATAAATCTGATATCAATTAGAAACAAAAAATTTACTCAGAAAATAGCAACTGATTTGCTGAAAAAACATAAATAATTGTGGGATGTAAGCTAAGTACCTGAATCAGTGACTGAAACGCGCGTGGGACTGTAATTGTTAGGGAACATTTGCTTTAAAGCCAAGTAAAATGGTCGTTCTTTATCCTAAAACCACATTAAAATTATTCCTCAAACGAAGTGAATATAATCTATAATTAATGAAACAGAATTTCGCCAAGAAAATAAATCTACAAAAATGTTCAAGTTCTAAATCTAAAATTCATCTTCAATGCCTGAAGGTTAAAAGTGGTTTACATAAAAACCAATTTTTTATTTTACTCCTTATTCAATCAAAATATTATTGAGAGTCAAACATTCTGGAACAAAAAAGAAAAAATAAAACGAAATATACACGTAGTATATACACGTAGTCTTGCTAAAAAATGAAAAAAGCTAGATCACCTCCTCATTGTCAAGTTTGGCTTGAATACTTCTGTAAAGAATACTTGGATGATTACACAGTTTCCTCAACAAATCAATAAGAACTAATGAATCACATGACAAGAAATGCGTCAGAGATTTATAGATGGAACACTGCAATGGTGAAGGTTGGCACCAAACTAAATAATCATCTGGAAAACAAATGTTTAGTAATTAATAATTTAGTCATTATTATTCTAAAACTTTGCAATATGCCTGATAGCATGAATTTGAGATTGAATTCCCAAGAACTTTCCTTTTAAGAGATACCATTCCAATCATTTTTTAAGAAAACTGCAGCAAAAATTCAAACCACTTTTATATTTAAAATAAATTATTGAAATTAATAACTTTTAATCGGGAGACAATCATGAATCACTGCAACCGTTCGGCGAAGCATTATTTCTGACAATAACTCATTGAAACGATCCGGCTAGAGAGTAGAAAGTCATCGATTACAAAACTTTGTGTAATTACTCTATTTTAAAAAATATCCAGGAATGAAAAAAGAGTAGGAGATGCTCAAGATATACAATAAATAAGAAAAATCAAATTTATGAGTGCTGTCAACAGCTAAAGTAATTCCAAACTAAAATAAGAAAGTACCTCAGTTTCCGAAAAATTTTTGAAATGTGAAAACGAGGAAAAAACATCGGGTCGTACGAAATCAATCAATGAGTAAAATTCCTCAAGATCATTTTGCATTGGCGTTCCTGTTAGTAATAAACGACGATGTGCACGTAACAGTTGAAGCTACAATTTTAAGTTTTCAATTTCCTATTTTAAATTTTAAAGTGTTTTATAACCAAACACACCTGTTCTCGAATTCTCCCATCACAATTCTTCAGCCTGTGAGCTTCATCGCAAACCAGTAGATCTACAGTTACATCTAACATTGACGTGAATAAACGTGTAAACATCTCATAACTTGTAATGATGACTGTTGGCAATTTCAAGCGAGATTTCAGTTCTTCTATATCTGATATCTTCGTTAGCAGAAGAAGCTTAAAAGTAAAATATGGTTGAACCAACATATCGCTGAATCAAAATAAAGTACCACTTTTGTAGCAATGAACTAAAAAAAACCATACCATCTCATATGAATAGGGAAACCATTTAATAAATTCTGCACGCCAATTACTAACTAGTGATGCTGGCGTTACAATTAGGCAGTTTTGAATCACAGATTCCCGATTTCGACGTACTTTGATTAATGCCATTATTAAAGAAATGGTTTGGAAAGTCTTTCCCAAACCCATTTCATCAGCAAGAATAACTCCACCATTCAAATCCTACAAAATAAACAATCTTTAAGATCCAGTTTCATCTTCTGCAAGTTTCAGTGAATGACATTTTTCGATAATGATAGTTATCATTGTGTTCCGGAATTTTTTCATCTACATAAAAGGCAAAGAGTTACATGTACTGGTATTTATAAAATTATTTTCAATTCAAATGCAAGAAGCATGGAAGAACCTTCAAATGTTTGTACATAAAAATAATTCCTTCCTTCTGATACAAAGTTAGCTGATTAGCAGCTTGAGCTTCTATAGAGATCCGTCGTATATTACCACTTTCATCTACTACCTTAAGTACTAAGTTTTTTTAATTAAAAAAAATATAAGTCTGATAAAATTATTGCAGAAACTTGACTATTTAAAAAAATGATCAAAAAAATATAGCTAGTTCAAAAACTTACATCCTCCAATACAAAATCTAATTCAGAATTTCGATCGAATAAGGGAGAAATGAAGTTTTGACCAGGAGTTCTTTTTGATAGTAACGAATTTCCCTTTTCTACTAAGTCTTTTGCAACACGATCACACTTTACTTTTTGATGCACACTCTCAGCTGAAATGCTTACCACAGTTACAATAAAATGCATAATGTAGTCACGATCAGGTTAACACCATGACATATCAATCAAATATCATATTTTTATTTTACTATTTATTTGTTTGTTGTTTACTGTTTGCAAGGCAGATCCCATGAAAATATTTCAGAGAAAATACCGGCTTCCTGCGAATCTTGCACAGATTTCTGTACTTGCAGTTCATAATTGCCAACTTTCAAAATACTGTTTTCCACTAATTCCTGCAGCTGTTTTATTGAGTAACCACTACCTCTAGCCAGCTCTTCATGGTTCTAAATAATTGAAAATAGCAAACTGTAGAAAAAATAAATGATAGCAAGAATATGATTATACATAAGAAGTAAAGACTTCACCTATTTTATTAAATATATCATTAAATATAGTAACTAATTCAACAGAGTAACAACTACAAGACGAAGATCATTTAATTTACCAACGTTTTGCTACTGCAATTATTACAAAACAACATACAAAAAAGTATGATACTGCTTACTTCATTTTCCAATACCACACAATTCTTTTTACAAATCAGTAATCCATCACCTTGCCATCTTTTATGCACTCTGGATGACACTTTTGCATATAGTACTTCGTACGATCGATAAACATAACTATCATCATCACTGCTACCTACAAGTGAAGTGATATTATCAGATGGAAATTTAGACCGTTACCAATCATTATTATCAGCACGTAAACAATTATTATTGAGTTTAAATAATAGTAATATATAAGAGTTTAACTACTATATGGGAAAAAAAAGGAAGTAAACATATATTTCCATTGATTCTATATGTTTAATTTGAAAATTAGTTGGACAATAAATGAGATCTGTGATTAATTCCGAGATCCAATAATAGAAAATGAAAACAAAAAAATACAATTAAACCCTGATAAATTTTTCATGAAAATGAAGCATTAACTTCAATCTAACAAATCTGAAAATGCAACAAATGAATATTAATAACTTCTTTTCAATGACAGAAAGAAATAAAAAAAAGACCAACCAGCAACAGTTGCATTGAGTGAGTAGCACTTCATTTTATTAGCATCATCACTAATGACAAACTTATCATCGTTTCTTTGTATACTGCTTCGTTTCATATCCTTTCCAATAAAAAGAATTTTAGATATACTTATAACATCTGCAATAATAAAAACCATAAAAACTATCATTTTGAATATGAAGATACGTTTTGGTAAGTAGTGCAACATGCAACCATTAATTCTCATATCACTTTACGTCAATCGATTACATCATAAAATTAAGATTACAATAATTAGAAGATTCAGATGGATTAATAACTGAATGACAGAATTTGTATATATGCTTTGACTAGTAACAGCCGTTAAAAATAATAATTTACTAGCTACAAATTTTCTAAATTCAAAAATTATTCCTAATGCATGCTCACAATGAAAACTTGAAATAGAGCTGTTTCAGACCAGAAATCACTCAAGTAAGATTGAAAACAAAAGTTTTGTAAATTAATTACCCAATTTAGCTTGTGATGATGATAGATTTCAAAGTTATGATAATGGATTCAAGTTATTAGTGCTCTGGAAAGTCTTAATTTTTCATTAGACCCACGTATTGAGACAATAAGAATTGCAATCGGACCATTTTTGTATGCACCGTCAATCTTTTACCGAGCAATGCTGTATCTTATTTGTGTAGATGTCGCGTGTACTTTTTTTCCATTGTAATTCAAATTGATGAATAAAGATAGGACGTCACGTTTTATCATAATTAATCTAATAGTTGACAGAACTATTATCTTATATTAGTTAGAGATTTGAAACGTGCACTTAAGCATACATAATAATTGTCTAGTGATGTGCATATTCTTCCTTTCATACTTAAATTTATTTATTTAATTCTTCAAATTTCGTGCTGCTTACACGTCACTTTTTATATATTTAAAGTATAAATATGATATATTAAATTGTATTTTAATGGTTTTATGTGCAATAACAAATTGCAAATAATTGACTAATCTTTTGGTCAATTCTTTGCAATTTCATAGTTTTTTATACTTATGTGATATAATTTTTAAAGTAATTTATAAATTATGCAATTTCAATGTGATTAAAAAAGAATTTTTACGATTGCGAATTTGTTCATTACCAAATTGAATGCACGCATCAGTTGACAATTTCAGAATTATTATATTAATCTGATACTTAAAAACTGCTAGGAACTATTCAATAATGATAGTTTCTAGCAGTTTTTGAGTGTAAGAACAGTTTTGATGGACTGTATTTAAAATTTATAAAGCAATTGCCAGTTTTATGATTTTATATTTTAATTTTGGTAAGTAGATGAAATAAGTAAAATACTTGTACACTGTGTTTGAGGTAATCTAAATCTTTCTTCACTTGTCACTCTTTCGTCAAAATTATATCTTATCACTCTTTTTTAGTATAAATATTCAATATGTATTTTTCCTAAATTGACGCTGAATTAGCTATTTAAATGGATTTTTGCAAATTAAGCTTTTTATCTGGTATCTAATGGAATACTCGTAAGAATCTGTTTAGTTACTACTGCAAAAATCTTCTTAAAACGCTCCGACTCTTGAATTATTATTTAGATTAAGAATATTGATGTGAAGTGAGATTAG